AGCGCCGCGCGACCAGACTCGAGGCATCCCCACGACTCGACGAGAATCCGACGACGCGGACATTAACGTCCTCGAGGACACCGCCGAACGAAATACGGACAGATACGATCGGGCTAAGCGATTAGTCAGGTCGTTGAAATTAGGACGAAAACGTTACGGCGAATCCGAGAGCGACGGCGAAGACGCTGGAATTCCGACGATATCGGGTTCCTATTCGGATCCCGAATGTTCCAACGACGTCTCCGCGAACGTTTCTCCGAGATGGAAGAACGGACATTCCAAGGTATCGTTAATTCGTTTAACGCTTGGATCGAACTAGACCCGATGGATCGGACTCGTCGATAACAATTTATAATAACAGTTTATTCCTATCGCCAATTTCGACGAACGAACACAGCTTCCAGAGGCATAGGAACTAGAAGCGTCCTACGTAACGTAGCAAGCTTGATCGGGGAGCCGATAACGCGTTCCATTGTTCCCGCGTTTACTCGTGTCCGCATTCTGGACCATTCATCGTTAACGAGCCGCTATTAATTAGTCCACCGATCAATTGAAAAAAATGTGGGACGCTCCAGATTCGATTCGTAACTTGCATCCCATATCCCGTATCCTTCGAACCGAATTTCGATAGGTTTCGCTACGCTGAGCGAAATTCGCAACGAAATTATTATCATTATTCGTAAATAGCGTCTGATCGAACGGATCGAGCGAAATCGCGCGCGGTTCAAACTCCTTAGAACTCCTTAGAGCGAACGGTTCGGGACCGTGACTCTCGTCGGCGAACGTATCTCGTTAAGAAAGTAGCACGATTTATCGCCGGGTCTGATCCACCGATCGCCGATCGACGAACGGAAAGTGGTCGCATCCATGAACATCCTAAAGTTGCAGAAACATCGACTGGGGAAAGCATGGGAGAAAATGAGAAGCTGGCTACGCGACGAGACGTCCAAGATCAACGAGGTCGTGAACAAACACGCTAGGTTGCAGGCTGTCGGCGCTTTGACCGGAGAAGCTCGCGTCCCAGTTATTTCGAAGAGCAACAGCGCGTCCTACGATCTGACCAAAGCCAGCACCCAACAACTCGGATCGATCACGAAAGTCGAGGAATTCGGTTTGACCTCCGTCACGGAAGAGAACGCGACTCGTCCGTCCGAAAACGACGATATCGCGTTGGTAAACGCTACGTCCGACGCCTCGAAGAACGCCTCGAATAATTTACGACGCGTCGTCGGTAGTTCGGACAACGTGTTCGACGAGGATGCTAAGGAGAAAATCGTTACCTCTTACAGCGTGGACAAATTGTGCTTCGATACGGAACACGAAGAGACCGTCGGGATCGAGAACAGCCGGGATCATGCTCGGAAAGCGGGTCTGATTAAGAGGAGAATGTTGGGGTCAATCAGAGGGTTAATGGCCTCCACTCATCTACTGCACGTTCACGAGCCCGAAGAGGTACTTGCATCGTTCCGTTCCCTAACGTTCCCTAGCCTTCGTTTCACCGAATTATGCTCGAAACGACCGGTATTCGTTTATAAACCTTTACCGGTTTATACGCCTTCGTTATTTTCATTTCGAACGACTACTCGAAGAAAGTTACGCGTTTCGGCAGACCAGCAGACTTACGCATCGCTGCGATCATTTTAGCGAAGTAGACATTCTGGCGGACGGCGTACGATCGAAGCGTCGAAAGTGTGGGAAAGTTGAACGGAGAAAATTCTCGACGTTGTCTCCTGCGTATTCCTTTCTTTCTCTACGTTCTTTCGACGATCCCAGCGACGACCGAGTCGATAACGCGATTTAGTCGAATTTCAAAAATTCTTTACAATCTTGAATCTTTAGAGTCTAAATCTTATTATTTCGATCGAGAACTTGTCCATCGGTCCTCTTACCATCCGGTCGTTAACGCGTTGCTCGTCGATACACTCGATCAATTTAACACGATCCAATTAAAAGAAAGAAAAAAAAAACACACGAAGCAAATTACAGAAAATTTGATTAACGATTTACATAAAGTAGCTTCGGTAAGATTATGGTGCTTCGATGGTGCTTGATAGATTCGAGGTACTTATAGAAATTGTAGGAACGAGTAGAAACTCGAAACGGAGAAGACGCGCGTGGAAGGTAACGAGCGGTTGCGGCGCGGTGATAGTGTCCGCGACCTCCTCGATTTCACCGTTTCGCCTGAACCCAAAGTCGAGGAACTCTCGAAGGTAAAAGGGAAAGGAAGCGTGTACGGTGTACGCGAACAGCTGCATCTACTAATATTCAAAACTTTTCCTCCCTTGTCGCGCGAGTAACCTTGATTTTCAAACGAATCGCGCGAATCTATTCTACGTATATGCGGATGCTATGTGTTTCAGAAACATGACTGGTCAAATGTTTTCTAAATTGAAAGCAAATCCAGGTGAAGTTGCCGCGATCGTTTTTCATCCAAGCTAAGATAGAAGTTATTTTTTAACTTCTAAAAAAAGTATGCTTTTTACGCGTTTAACAGGGAGACTTGCTATTATTTTATTTATTTAGCACGAATCCTCTGCGAAGTTTCGCTGCTTATTTCGGAGACGCGAACAACGACCGAACTAGCCGACTTTCCGAATATTATGTATACTCGCTAACGAATTTAGTCTGTTCGAGAAATTGTCGAGCCGTTAACGCGAAATATCAACGTTTTCACGAGTTCGCTAATTAAACTAGAGTATTATTCCAACGTGCTCTGTCATTGGCCCGCGGTGTTACAGATTTCTCGCGCGGTACTCTTCAATTTCCATATTCGAAGCGATCGAATCGTAGCTATTATGTTCGCTTTTCAACCGTTACGTGAAAATCCTCGACTACCTTCGCGAAACGGCCGCGAAAAGAAGCCGATAGATCGTTGAAAAGTTTGAAAGTTTACGTCTTCGACGCGTTAACGTCTAGTTCGAGAAATTCAACGATCACAGAGTCTACCTGAACGTACCTTAATAAGATACGTAGAAGACACTCGGACAAAGATACAAAGTCAAAAGAAGTATTACGTTATCGTTACGAGTCCTTCCGTGTGTAACTCTAGGACAGATAGGAAGTTGTATAGCAGCACGTTATACCACCTGTTGCATACGATAGTTCATTTGTTCCGCGACCATGGTACCATAATATCCAAGTCGACGTATCAATTAACCTTTTACTTCGAAAGGTTTCGACATCGACATCGCAACTTTAATACATTTTATTCCTACGTGTCCCGGTTTTTTCATCCGGCTCGGCCAAGCGTCTCGTGAACGATCTCCTTACTTTCCTACCCAATTTCCATCGGATGATTTTGCGCTTCGTCCGACTACCCTGTTTCTGGCTCGCGGAACACGGACGACACGAAAGTTGATCCTCGAGCGTACGTACGCGGTCGATCGTTGTCTCGCGATACGGCGCCGCGTCGTATATCTAATTACTTTATACCGTAATTAGTTGCCACCCTCGAAATTCTGAGTTATCGCAAAGTAGAAGTACTCGGAAAATTTGATCGACCAAATACGTAACTGTACGATATTAGATATTCGTGGGGCGAAACGTCGATCGCGAATACGTTACGCGAAAACCGAAACCGGTATCTCTAAACTATATCGCTAAACAAACCGGTCGTATGCGCGAACACTTTTTGGATTTTATATTTCTCGTCCAGTTTACGCGACGTTTAGATTTTCTTGCGCGTTACGCGTCGGATCGTAGCTGAAATAATGACCGACTCGAAGAGAAAAGATATCGGGAACGTAATTTGCCTGTATTTTCCAACGTTACGCTCGACTCGATTTTCTTGCTACTACTCGTCCAGTCAAGTTCTAGTTGGATAGCTGTTCGCGTTGCCACGCTAAATTCTCGTTTACGTACAATCACCGGACTTAATTTCGTTCCGCGATCTTCTTCGATGCGTTAAACGATCGTTTCTAAAGGAACGCGTGCGAAACAAACGAAAGAAACGGGAGAAATTCTCTCGGACGACAGCGCGCGATACGAATTAACAAATTTCTAGATTCGAGTAAAACGCTTCGCGAAACCGGCGAAATTAACGAGAAATCGTTCGGGTAATTCGAACGAGTACAAAGTCGCGCGCGCGGAGAGGGTAATCTTATCGAGGTATCGAAAACGCACGGTTAACTTTCCTTTTGCCGAGCGTTCGCGTACGATTCAATTTTCCTTCCTTTCGCACGGGTCAACAATACTATAAATCGATTCGTTACGCATAAATCTGTCGCGTCGGTCCTGCGAAGCAAATGGAACGGAAGCCTGCATCGATCGTAAATCCCTTTTCTTTTCTTTACTTTTCTTTCCTATCCTTTCCGGAAGACAAAGTCCATCGTGGCGGAAAGAAATGGTCGTAACTCGCTCGCGGGACATCTCCCGAGCCACGATGCGTGGTTACCGCTACGTTCGACGTTCCCCTACATCTCAAAGATCTAGCGATTATTCGATCGTACAACTCGAAATTGCGTTAACGATAGACCTTGTTGATTTCAGGGTGGACAAGGCGGGTTCGAAGACGTTCGACGATACGTGAAACAAGGTGGCGATTTCTGCAAAGAACTGGCCTCGATACTTCACGAGAGGTACGTTCGATCACGAAAATATCGAATCTCAAGTTTTTTCTTACCGTTAAAAGATGGATTATCGTTTCAGGGCGGAATTGGAAGCTACTTATGCCAAAGGGCTCAGCAAATTGAGCATTAAATTAACGAAGGCGTGCGCGAAGGATCAAGGTATACGAAATTTTTCAATAGCCAAGTTTGCTTTTGCTTACGATTATATAGCCATTTTATGCATGTCTGATATTTCGTAACGCAGGTGGCAACAGCAGCGGAGGCGTGAACGAAGCATGGAGATGCGTCGGCGAAGAAATGGAAGCTGCCGCGGAAGCCCACAGAATCTGGGGATTGACGCTCGGCGAACAACTCGCAAAACCTCTGCGGGTAAGTTTATCGCCCGCTAAATATCCTTCCTTTAGCGTATTCTATCTTTACATAATCGTTCGATAGCGCCGATTAACGGCATCGAACAGGCGTTAAACGGGCTTTAAACGGGATTTAAACGGGCTTTAAACGGGTGTGTACGTGTTTCGTAGGTAGGCGTAGCAGAGGCTCAAGGACGCTCGAGGAAATCCATCGAGAATTCCGTCGACAAGGCGGGAAAAAGTCTTCACGAGTGGCGTAACGTCGCGATGAAAAGTAAGAAACAAAGTTTCGCTTGCGCGAGAGAAAACGAGAGGTTACAGGACCTAGCGAGGTTACAATCGATCAGCCAGAGCCAACAAAGCAACAACAAATCTTCGAACCATCATATGACGGAGAAGGAGGCGAGTAAGCTCGAGGCGAGAAGGAGAAAGGCCGAGGACTCCTCTCGTAGGGCGGATACGGAGTTTTACACGGTGAGCGTGAGAGCCGAGAGAGCCAGGCTCGAATACGAAAGTACCATGAGGAAGGGGGCTAAACAAATGGAACTTCTCGAGGAAGAACGATTAAGCGCTCTCAAAGATCTAGCGAACGTTTATCTGGCACACCTGCAAGCTCTCGCTCCCCGTCTACAACAGGTACGTTTCCCGCTTCTTTTGCCATCTTCGCCAATCGTTAACGAATATTTCTTCCGACAAACCCCGAGTTAAACCAACTTCGAGAACGAACCGTCCAACGTGGCTACGGCGAAAGCGTTTTCCGATTCGTTCGTCGGACGATTATATTTACTTCTGCTTCTTCCAGAGCGCAGACCGTTTGGCAGCTCCTGTACGTAACTGCAACGTGTCTCAAGATATCGAGATCCTGAAGAATCTTATACGCAGAGTAGAGAGTAACGACGGATGCAATTCCGATCAATTACTTCCTGATTTTTATGCCGAACATATTACTCTCGCGATGAACAGAGAACGTCGAAAGCAAGCGTTAGTGAGAGTTCTTCATCTGATCAGACAAGATTTGGATCGAGAAAGACGCGGTAGAGAGGGTTTGGAAACTCTCCATAGAGCTTTCGTCGCTACACCGGCGTTCGCGGCGGACGAGAGCACGCAGAACGTTACCGATAAACTACATCACGTACGAATCTTCTTTATTTTCCCTTCTTCTCCTACACGTGTTCTGCAAAACGATCATTCGCTTTTCTCTTTCAGATGAGATCCATGCTGCTCTATCTGGAAGCGGCGAGGTACAAAGTTGGAGGTACCTTAGCGGAAGTGGAAGGCAGTAAACGAAGCAAACATCCGTTAGCCGAGCACATTTTAGTTTCCAGAGATAAACAGGGTTTGCAACAAAGTGTCCTTAAGGTACGCACGCGACCGCCACAAAAATAATAACTACAGGACGTCGTATCGTTACGAGAATTTACTTTCTTCTAGATTCCTTCTTGGGCGAAAAACGAATCGTTCGAGATTCAAGACGACGAGGACGAGATAGAAGTTCATCTGTCGAAGACGGATCACGATACCGATAGCCGTCACTGGCCCGATCGAACAGCCGGTGACGGCAATTCCGAGAATCCACCCGACGAAGATGACTTTAGCGATTTCGATGAATTCAGCAGCCATTCCGAAGACAATAACAATCAAGACGTGGACGCCACCGAAACGACCAGCAAATCCGAAGGTACGGAACAGTGCAGAGCGATCTATCAATACTCGGCGAATCTGAACGACGAACTTAGCTTGAGCCCTGGAGACTTGATAACGGTTCATCAGAAACAACCGGATGGCTGGTGGATAGGCGAGTGTAGAGGAAGAACTGGAATATTTCCAGCAACCTATGTACAAGTTATTCACTGATCCTTTGAACAGCTTCTTCTTCTTCTTCTTCTTCTTCTTCTTCTTCTTCTTCTTCTTCTTCTTCTTCTTCTTCTTCTTCTTCTTCTTCTTCTTCTTCTTCTTCTTCTTCTTCTTCTTCTTCTTCTTCTTCTTCTTCTTCTTCTTCTTCTTCTTCTTCTTCTTCTTCTTCTTCTTCTTCTTCTTCTTCTTCTTCTTCTTCTTCTTCTTCTTCTTCTTCTTCTTCTTCTTCTTCTTCTTCTTCTTCTTCTTCTTCTTCTTCTTCTTCTTCTTCTTCTTCTTCTTCTTCTTCTTCTTCTTCTTCTTCTTCTTCTTCTTCTTCTTCTTCTTCTTCTTCTTCTTCTTCTTCTTCTTCTTCTTCTTCTTCTTCTTCTTCTTCTTCTTCTTCTTCTTCTTCTTCTTCTTCTTCTTCTTCTTCTTCTTCTTCTTCTTCTTCTTCTTCTTCTTCTTCTTCTCAGATCAGTTGCTTAAACATCTTGCGAAAAATAAAGATGCCTCGTAAGCACAGACGTACATACTTCCACCGCAAAACTAATTAAACGGATCAAAAAAGGTACCAAAGCACACTAATCGAAGAGTGTGACGTTCTCCGATGTTAACGTCGATCGTTTAAAGTCAAAACATTCGACGTTCAACTGTATTGTTCGTAACAACGATCGTCGAACAGTTTCGATTACGATCTTGACATATTAGAACCGCGTTATACTCCTCGGAAATGGTTATTAATTTCACCTGCACCTCTTTAATATAGCTTTTTAAAATACGAATCTTCCAATTAATGGATACTCCGCTTATCCTGTTTGCGTCCATCACGTGCCAACGTTAGCATACGCGTGCAAACATTCTGCAAATACGTACAACCCAAACTTAACGCCAAATAGTTGCTGTATTTGGCGAATCGTAATCCGAAAAATGAAATATTTATACAACGAACGATTCCTTGCAACTTTTATAATAATTTATGTATCTCTAATTTCTAATTAATTTATAACGTTTATGTAAAGCGTAACGTTATTAGTAAAATGTTTGTTAGTAAAATACGATAAAAGTCACTTTGATACGATAAAAAATAAGCGCGGAAGATAATTGACGAAAAAAGAAAGTATTTTCTTTTTTACGTGATCGAATATCATTTATTTACGAAGCTACTAAAAATGTAATTAAGTAGCGGAATATATGTACATAACTCGATCGATTTTCGAAATCTATTTGTAAATAGTAGCTATATTTAATAAATTAACTTTCGTACATCGTTAAAAATTCGAAATCTCTTTATTTATATAAAACGATTACGGTTCAGTCGTCCAGCTCGTTTGCATAATCCTTTTCCAATTCAATTATCACTTCGTCGATTATGCGAGTGTCGTTACCTGTCCAAATAAAAATATGTCGTTTAACCGTATGATTTTTTACCGATATTACTCGTTGTTATTACAATATGCAAATTTCTAACATATCATAGTGGACGACGTTCATTGTCGTGATCGATTAGCTTACCCACGTATACAAATTTACTAAAAAATAAACGTCGATACAAAGGTTAAATTTTCTATTTTATTTCGCTTTCACTTACTGCAAAATGGTACGATGTTCGATGTAGCAACGAAGAATGTTCCGCGGTGAGGATAATTTATCGCGTTTATACCCATTTCGGTGCAGACGTTTCTGTCACAAGATTCTGCAGCTATTCGTTTTAAGCTTCGATACGATAAATCCCAATGATGTGCCCAAAACGTACAATTGCGTTTAATGTCGGACATCAAAGATTCCGTTAAATAGATATATGAACGTCCATGGCTACATATAGACTTGTTAATAGCTGAAATCAAGTTTATACTTCATGAAAAGCATGCTACTTACTTGTTCCACCTCTAAGTATCTATGCGTATATTCACCTTGAAGAGGAATTGGTAAATATTCAAAATACGACGAGTTCTCTCTTACACAGCCAGGCTGACTTTTACCACCGTTAGGATAGAAATCAACGTGACCTGGTAAAAAGTTACTTTTATAATAACCAAAATAACATTTGTTAAAACCGGTAAAACCAGTCGCTCAGAAATATCGCTAACCTATAGGCTCTGGCAAACCTAATCCAATTTCAGAAAGTAATCTACCATTAGTGTGAATAATATCGACAAATGGAGCATCGGATTTGTGAAGTTTTACATTTTGATCTGCACTGTTGAAACAAGGTTGCGCAGGGTCCAATCCTGTTATTCTTTCTATTTTCCAATTACTTTGTCTTTTTTTCAGTTCCTTTGCAGCAAATCCACAAATATGTGCTCCTAAACTGTGTCCGACTAAATGGAGGGGTCCCAGAGTACCGTTATCAGAGGTATTCAAAGCGCTTGTCGCATTTTCAATGTGTTCTAAAAATCTGTACAAAAGAATCTCTATCAAATATATGTATAGGATTACATTACGATGTAAAACAGACCTTGCAATTTGATATCCGACCACTTTTGTATTGACCGCTGCTTTGTAGTAATTCCAGGTATTACCACCTGTACTCCAATCTACAACTACGATATTTACGTCACTCTGAAAATCATTAAAGGATACAATAATACGTTGAACTTTACGTATCAAGAAAAATTCTTAGACACATTTGTTTGAATATCGTGTATTCAAAATTAAACTTACCCATCGAAGAAATGACTTCTCCATATTTTTGATCCATGATTCTTGACCGTGCGATAAAAATCCATGAACTATTATGATCGTTCTTCGTTCGACTTGGAAATCTGTCCATTCTAAACCAAACTGTCTACCGATGATTACTTGAACACGTTGCGGTTGTTTTCTTGAAGATAACAAAAACTGAACATTCAAAGCGTTTGATCCGTTTGGATTACCCATAAAAAACCATTCCAATGCTGTGGCTAACGTTTTCCCTAAACCGAAACAATCTACCTGATACGATTTAGAATCTAAATATGAATCTTTGTAACTCGAATTCGATAACGTAAACATAAAATTCGGCAAGTTGGAACTATTGTAAGTCACTGAATGTTCACCGCCAAGATTCAAACTTATGTTTGCGTCGTTCTTCAAAACGTGATTGTACGCGGTAGAAAGCAAAGATAATTTAATCAATAGTATTCTAAAACATAACATTTTATCTAATGAATTTCAAGCTACAACAAATAAATCTAATGCAAGTAACTTTACGACTTATTATTACACGTATACGGAAGGATTACAAAAGTCACGACCTTGCGACAACAGGGGTCACATCGTTCATTTTTTAAGGAAATAACAGCTTCAAAACACACGAATAATTTACTTTTGTCTTTCACTCTACCAAGATTGTACTATCAAAAAGGTGTTTTACTAATTGTACATTAAATAATAATATAATTTATTATACTTTATTAAGTTTATACATTTACAGTTACTTGTATAACTCGAGGAGAGTTTATAACGAAAATATTCTATTATTTGTAAATATTTGATAAAAATTTTTAATAATTAGCAATTCATGATACCAATAACACAACTAATATATACGAACGTATTGAAGAAAAAAAAAAAGAAAGCTATTAAATATTGATAATCAAGTATCAAAATTATTATTAATAGTATCGAAGTATTAATATTCAAATAACATTTTTTATGTGCTACTTTTATATACATAATATAAAATTATATAATATCTCTATTTAATCATACGATTACTATAAAATCTGTTATACTCATTCTTTTCGGTATAAAATATTCGGTATATTTTTTACATAGACAGTATAAAACTGAAAATTTATTAACGCTTATATGTTCAACTTTTGCTTCTTCCTTTTTCGCCTTTTCTCTTTTTTCTGCTACAAATAGAAAAAAATAAAAATAAATAAAATAATTCAATGATTTTCAATTAGAAACCACACAAACGATTAACGAATATTTTCTTACCATTCTTTGTTCGAAATTTACTTGCTTTTCTTGACCAGGTATATTTTTACTACCTCCTTGAAAGCTACTAAAGTCTACTGCTTTATAATCGAATTTTTTTGACGGCAACATATTTTGCTTGTTTAAATCGTTGATTATGCGTTTCTTTTCCCCTTTCTTTCGCGACCTAAAAAACAGTTTTTTATTTATTTTTATGGCGAACTTGTGATCAATAAGATAAGTATAGTTTAAACATAGCTAATGTATCAAAAGAAATGAATAATATTCCTGACGGAGAAATTATCTTGATACTGTTGCAACGTTCCTACCGTATTGAATTAGTAACATTGTCTGAAGTATCGTTCTGAATTCTCGCGACACTTTCTTCTATTTTTGCCTCTTTATCCAAATGTTCCGTGTCGTACGACTTTTTGTTCGTGTCTTGAATAATTTTCGTTTCTAACGATGGAATCGGAGTTATCAAGTTGTCGGTAGATTTTTCTTCTTCCGTTACTTTTTCTTCATTAATATTTGAACTTCTTTTTCTTTTACATCCACGCATTTTACTTAAAGGAGTTTTCTTTGTCGACGGTGTAGCCACCGTTTGCTGTTTCGGAACTTGAGAAACCTGTTTAAAATGTTCATAAACTCGTTGTTTACTCTCTTCTATTTCTTCGTCAACCTTCTTCAATTTATCTAAATGATCTTCTTCTTCTTGTTTCTGTTTCTCCCTTTCGCGTGCTTCTTCTTCCGCTATCATTGGTATCACGCGTTTATATCGTTCAAATGGACTTACAAAAATAAACTTTCTCTTTCTATTAACTTCCTGATTATTCTTCGACGTTTCCTCATCCTAAATTAACATGCGTGTATACACATACATGTATCAGGTTAATAAATAATAAACATTACTTTGATCGTTTTTTTTTATCGCGCGATTAACATTATTGTCTTACCTCGGATGTGATTGGACTGTCGAATACAGTCACTGTATGCTTGACTGTGACGTTTGAAAGTGCTTCTTCTAGAACGTTAACGTTATCCAATAGACACGGTAAATCAGCTCTGGCTTCCATATCGTGCGGGATATCGTGTGGAGAATACATCCACGCTTCTGAATTTGCAATTTGATTTCTTTGACCCAATCTTTGCCTAAGGTCATCGAGAACTGGTTTGATAAGTGGTTGTTCTCTAGCTTTTAATATTATCTTGTGCAGTTTTAATAAATTTTGCCTCACCAAAGGTGGAATAGGATTACAACATGCCAAAATGCCTTGCATTTCACGAGGTAATGTTTCAGCTATATTCAATAGCATATGATTTGGCAAAACGTAAGCTGTGCTGTCGTCTTCTTCTCTCGCTGTAACATCTCTCCATTTATGTAGTTCTATCAAAGCATAAAGTTGTTTATTATTAAACATTTTTTGACTCTTTCGGTATATACTCATACAGCTTTCCTCTGTCCATATTGGTTTTACATAAGTCTTTTTACAAATGTCCGTACTCCGATCATAAACAGATTTCAGAATATTGATTTGTCCGTTAGCCGCGTCGATTAAAGCATTTCTTAAAATGTCTTTTATATACAATAAATAATGCGTGTCTTCCCTAGCATATTTCTGTAGTTCCTCCGGTAACGGTCTTATTCGCCAATCAGCCAATTGAAAGTGTTTGTTCGGATCTATGTTACAGTAGTGCTTTAATAAATATGCTAGACTTAAATACGGCAGATTAAGTTGTTTCGCCGCTTGATGCGTATCAAACATATTTACTATATAGAGAGACAAGTCTCTTTGGAGCCATTGAATGTCTAAATCAGCTCCGTGAAAAACTTTTAAAATCGTTGGCTTAGTGAAAATCTCATTTAATTCGTGTAGTTCGGATCGTAACGATAATGTATCTATCAAATAATCCGCATCTCCCGTTGAAATTTGCATCAAGCAAGTTATTCCTTGAAAGCTGCGGTAAGAATGATGTTCCAAGTCTACGGCAATTTCCTTATACCGTTTCAAATCTTCTAGCAATAATTTAATATCGACTGGATTTTCGATTATTATTAAAGGCGTGTCTTCCAAAGACTTATATTTCTTTGGTTCACATTTTTTTAACTGATCCATGCGTGGCGAAAACATATCCAATTCAAATTCATAAGGATGACTATACACTTCACCATTTTCACTTTCTTCCGTGTAAATAGCCAATGGTTTTAACGAATTTGGTTTGTCTTTGATCTTGGGACTCCACGGTTTCGAACTGTTGTCAATTTTATCTTTAAACATTAACTGAGGTCTTTGAACATTTCTGCCTGCCAACAAGCGCACTGATTGAGTACTATCCGTTTGTTGCGGCGCTCGACAGATTTGATTGTTCCAACTTCCATTCACTATCTGCTTGTTCGCCCGCGTCACTACCAATTCTACTTCAGAATTTCTCATAACGCCGCATTCTTTGTCCATCAATTCGTTCTATAGCAAACAAGTTTATAATTATGTAGAGTACTTGTTAGTTCTATAAATACTATAAAAAAGTTACGTGTACAAGAACTTACAGCTCTGTCCAAAAAAATATCGTTCGTTTCTAGCAAAAGATCAAATTTTTCATCGACACCTCGATTCGAAATGTTGTTTTTAATACCTACTGTAGCCAGAACACGTTGCATAACGTTTAATACCAGTTTTATGTTTCGATCTTTCGCATCGAGAAAACTAGGAAAACAGGAATAATAACGAAAATCCGATCCAACCGGTAAACTATTGGATACTTTAATACCAGCTCTTATCGCGTCAAACGATTCCTGAAACATAACATAAATTGGTTCGAAAAAGGAACTCCGAGCAAAGAAAAACATTTGTTAAAGCTTATCATCATTTTAACGAGAATCAAGTAATCCGTACCTGAACATAGTTGTCAAAATTTGCGTACCCAGGTATAATTTGTTCATTGTTAATTTCTTGCCTCTCATTTTCGTGCGTTTCATTTTCTAACGGTTGTTGACAATCGCCACTCCAATCTTCCGTAGAATCCATATCGTTCATTATGAATCGTTGATGATAATTTTGTTTTCAATTAAAGTTTTACTCGATACTGTAACACATACGCGAAACATTTGAATATAATTACACGAGGATAACCTATAACGTCCACGATATCGGTATTAAGAGGAGACGGTGTACCACCGACGACACGAAGGACGAACGAAATATACGAAATAATAGGGTTTCACGATTGTTCGGAATAATTTTTTTAAACGATGACAGCGTAATATATTTTTAATGGGATTTTAATAAAAAGAAGAGTAAGAAAATAGCACGGATAAAAAGTTAAAATACACTGTAGGTACCACGTACGTACGCATGTATACGATGACAATATAATTGTCATACATTTGACCGGACGAAGAGGAGACACGAATAAATTCGAAAAAAAAAGGTATCGTCGACAATCGATTCGATGAATAATACTGAAATGGTATGAAATTCCGATCGTTTTGAAAGATATACGTACAATCATAATACAGGTATATATGCGTATAGTGTGGAAAAGGACGTCGAAGATGGCGTTAGCATCGTTACAATCTATCCGTTCCCCGTTCTCAGCGTTCAAGTCCAAAATTAGTAAATAAAGATGGTGGCAGCGCGTGAGCCGTGTGCGGTATCGTCACGCGAAAAATGTCTGGTAAAATGAAGTGGAAACGGAGAACGTTCGCGATCTCTCAGAAAAATTCCAAAGTTCTAGAGACCTAGTGATCGAGTTGATCGTATGGACAATAATAACAGTGTAAATAGTGTATTTTTCTTATATTTCCCTGGGAGCGGATAGCAGCCGAAAAGAGGATAATTTGGCTCCAGAGTTCACTGTAAGGTACAAATTCTCGCTATTTTTAGACTCTACCCGAGTGTCGATTCTCATTCAGAGCATTCGTTCGTTCCATCGACAAGTAGAGAAGTCGCGAACGGACATCTACCCTGAAGAAAAGAACGTTACGGAGCGTCGTCGATTTTCTTTCGTGGGCGTTTTCGATTACTCAATAATGCGCGAACGAGGCTCATCGTTACTCGTAAATCTGCATCAGGACCGACACCAGCAACGTCGAGGAGCTGGTTTTCTCTTTTGCGACCTCCACGATAACGTTCGAGACAATTAACGGATGTTCCGAAAGAACTCTTCGAAATATCAGAATGCTATTTTTATAAATAGGAACCTACATACCGTGGTACGCGTTTTAGTTGCATACGTTGGTTGCACCGGTACGCGTACGCACACAGTGACACACATTTTATTTAACCCAATTGATCGAACGATCCTCGAGTTGGATCGTTCGATGCGTCTTACCCGAATCGGGAAGAGAATTTATCGGTTTCGTGAACGATCGTTCTTCTATTCCTTTCGTCTTACCGTCCCGATTTTACCGTCAATATTTACGTCGATTCGAGATACGTCGACTTTCGCGAAAAGAATTTCGGCAACGAAAGTTACCGAAAGTATTGTTTACGCGTAACACTTTGTCTCGTAGGAACGCGATTCTTTCTTCTAGTTAATTTTTTTCGCGCACGTCAACGTACTCGTCTTTTTTTTTTGGCGCGTCATCTTTGCCTATCCTCCTGTCGTATCGACGAGGATCACTCCGGTTCTGTTTCTTCGATACTTTCTCTGTACGCGGACGCGCGTGTGCGCGATTTTTTTTTTTTTTTTTTTCAAACGTGTTCGAACGTAATACCGCGAAACATTCGCGTCGGCCGAAATAGCATAGATCCAGATGGTCGGTCGCGAATGAAATTCACCGAGCGTAGTCTATTAATTCTTCGTGACTCAAACTTTTGTCGCGAGAAATTGCGATTCACGCGTACAATCACCCGCGACCAACGTACCGAGAAAGAGAGAGAGAGGTTCATTCATGTATGCAACGCGAGTCGTGCACAGGAATAATAAGGGTTTTAATAATAATACGTGAATCACGAGATACCGTACAAGTTGTCGAATGACGTCACGCACTAACGACATTCGACATTGGTGGTAGCTCGCGAATAGGAGACGATACCAAAGTTTCTCTTACGATTCTTGATTCGAGAGCAATCGAAGGGGGCACAGCGCGAGATGCGAGAAGCGCGTTCCAATCGAATTTCAGTTTCGTTCGATGTAGAAATTAGAAGGAATTCGATAGATTTTTACCAACGATTCAAGTTATACCGTTGCTGTAAAACCCTTGTTCGTTTTATAAGATAGTTCCGAATTTTGAAATTTTTCTTAAAGCGGTAACAGGTTGACGCTAATGCTAATACTATTAACCGCGATTGGCAGAGAATCATAAATGAACGAAAAGAAAAATAAAATTCTGTTGGGAAATGTTGGGAAATGTTGGGAAATGTTGGGAAATGCGCGCGACGGTTTCGGGATGTCCACGAATTGACTAAGTTAGCTCTCCCGTTCATGGTTTTGTAGTGTACATATATAATTTGTCAAGACGTAAAAGTGGATCGACTTTGGCAAATTTTCGACGGCGCCTTCGCGCGTCGACCCGATACTTTGACCGCGCCTTCAGTTTTCAACTCGTTTGTCTCGACATCAACGAAAAACACGTTTCACCATTGGCGCCTAAAAGTTGTTTTCGCTATAGCGAAATGGCAACTCGAATCTTTCAAATACTAATTTTAAACGCGATGCTTTACTACGTAACGCGTATGCGACGCGTTCGAAACGCTAACAGGAAATAAATACATATATCGAAGAAATGACTACTATCTGTCCGGCGAGTTTAAAGGATCAATGTTACCGTGCATTATCGAAAATTTCTAATCGGCTTGGTCGGTTTTATCTCGCGTTCTTTTCAGACTTCGCGTTGACAGTAGTATTTTAGAGTCTCTCTATAAATAGCAAGTAAAAATGATCGGGCCCTGGCTACTCGGTTTCTAGGAGGCATTGCATTCGATTCGTTTTGCGAGCAATGAGTTTCGCGTTTCGATCGCTATCCTCGTTGTTCGCCGCTTTAACGACCGTTAACGATCTATTAATTCCGGTGAAAACGCGTTTCGGAAGCAAACAACGGAGTTGCTAGTCGCTTTTCTAGACGAAACTGTGCTGCACTGTACTGTACGGGAAATTTCAATTTACCTACGAATAATTTTCTCAAGGAAGATCGTCGAGTGTCGATCGTCCGAAACGATCGAATGAAATTTCTCTCGAATTTTAATTCGAATCGCGTGCATTAACTTGTTTCGCCCGGCAACGTGTCGCGACGCGACGCGCAACATTATATCGTACATTTGGTATAACTTTGTTATTATAATGCCGAGCGCGTTGGCAAATGAAACGAGTCTCGGAGCCAATCAGATCGTCGCTCGAAGATACTAACTTGCATTAAATAAACGTTAGAAACGTTTTACAGAATATACGAGACGACGTGTATTACTTTTATTAACCGACTTCGAAAAAGGAGGAGGTTACTCAATTCGATCAGTATATTTTTTTTTTTTTTTTTTTTTTTTTATTATTATTTTTATTTTCTATGTGTGCCCGCCTATTACGCCTAGCTGGATGCACCGATCGGAACGAAACCTTTTGCATCTGGTAGGTTCTGACTCCCCATTGGTACCATTATCAAAAAATTTTTCATTTTTCAGTTGCAAAGTGTTGTTATTGCAAAAAAACCGGCAACTTTTGAAATAAACTTTTCTCGATTTTAGTGCGCTTTTAATATCTTATCACGGACATGATTCTGAACAATTTTGTTCATATAAAAATTTCGCGGAAAGCTTTAGTTTTCGAGATATTAGCGAAAAATTGTTGAAAAGTTTTGAAATCAACTTTGGACGATTTTAATGTCCTTTTAATATGTTATCAGGGGCACGATTCTGAACAACTTTTTCCTTATCCACAATTAAGG